GAGGCTGCAGCAGGAGCAGGAGAGTCCCTAACAGGCAAGACATGCAGGTGCTTACAAAGGAAGGGGCGCCCTTGCCTTCCTGGGACACACAGATGAAGAAGGGCAACTGAGGCCGAGGGATGGGCACGATGGCCCCTGTGCAGCCTGTCAAACTTGCACGTTTTCTACTTTTTGTCCTCAGGCCTTTGCCCCCACCCTGCCCTAACCATGTAGTTGGAGCCCAGGAAAGAAATGGGGGAGAGGGGGTGCAGAGTGGGGGAAGCAGGTGGGGGCATGGTTGCCAGGCCCCTTGGGTCCAACCACCCTATGCCTGAGCCATAGCTTCTTGCCAAGTGGGTCTGGTGTGAATCAGCCAGAGCCCAGAACAACTAGGGACGTGACTGAGGCCTGGGGCCAAGGTCCCTGCCATGGCTGATATTCTCAAGGCTGGTTGACCTTCAGTGTCCATACACACTAAAAGCCTATGATGCACTCTGTGTATAATTCCAGTACAAACACTGCCCAACCAAAATGAGATGAAAGACGCCCAACAAAGAATATAGGAGTCATATTGGCGGCTTCCCCTAGGGAGGGAGACTGGGCTGGCTGGAGGAGAGGGCTGGGAGGGACATTGACTTCTCCCTTATGCTTTTTTGAAAACTTATAGCACAGGTATGTATTACCTTTATAAAAATAAATTCACCCTGTCCAGCATGGCTCAGTGGATTGAGTACCAGACTGCAAAGCAAAGGGTCGCCAGGTGGATTCCCAGTCAGGGTACATGCCTGGGTTGCGGGCCAGGTCCCCAGTAGGGGGTGCACGAGAGGCAACCACACATTGATGTTTCTCTCTCTTTCTTTCTCCTTTCCCTTCCTGTTTCTCTAAAAAAATAAATAAAATCATTTAAAAAATAATAAAAATAAATTGACTGGGAGAATGCAATTTCCAGGGAAGTTCTGAGGTGTTGGTAATGCCCTACATCTTGATCTAGGCAGCGCATACATGAGAGTGTGTTAATCTGAGGTTCATCAGGCTGTGTGCTTAATATTCATGTACAATATGTATACCACACCTAATTTAAATATAAGGAAAAATAGATAACACTGGTAAAGCCCAACAAAAGTCTATTTTCCCTATGATGACTACTATATCATTTTTTCAAACACCAAACACCAAACATCAATGCCCTCCCTAGGGCTTTTTTTTTTTTTAAGATTTTTATTTATGTATTTTTAGATGGAGGGGAAGGGAAAGAGAAAGAGAGGGAGAGAAACATCAGTGTGTGGTTGCTCTCACGTGTCCCCAGCTGGGGACCTGGCCCACAACCTAGGCATGTGCCCTGACTGGGAACCAAACCAGGGACGCCTTGTTTTGCAGGCCCGTGCTCAATCAACTGAGCCACCTCAGCCAGGGCCGCACCTTAGGGCTTTTTATCCCCTCTTTCTGGTACCTGGGGGACTTGCTCAGTCTGTTTATTGCATGGTCTAACACTAATACCCTTCTGTCTCAGACAGCCACACTGAAAGACCATGAGCTCTCTCCCACAGCAGGGGCCAAGAAGAGTGGCTGCAAGGTCCACTCTGCCACAGAGGGCCCCTGCCAGTCTCACTTACCTCCAAAGGCTCAAAGGTCACACAATGCCTCACATAGAGTGCACGTCCAATACACAAGCTTATCAATACCCATGCCCCTACATGGTCGCAAGTCCTGGTCCTACAAACATACCCCTGGCTTGTCATATACAGACATGCACACACACACAGAGTCATCCATCTATGTACACACAGTCCCACTACATGTACCTTGTCCTCCATGTCGGGCACAAATACCCGGGTGGAGTTGTGTTGGTGGTACAGCAGTGAGTGTAGCTGCCTTCCAGACACTTGCTTGGACACCCCGTCCTGACCCCACACAAGGCTGCAGACCCATGCTCTGAGCACCTGCTGCACCCCAGCCCCAGGCCAATGGCCTTCTGTGTCTTAACCCCACACGGTAGGAAGAAACTCGCCAAGTTCTGACCCATGGAAAAAGCAGGAATTTTTCCAAAGGGTGTCAAGCCAGATAACAGACACTAAGGTAAGATGTACAGAATCTGATGTCCCCTTAACAGGAAAATAAGCAACAACTGCCTTCCTTACCTTGGCAGAAGCACTCCAGTGCCGGTGGAGCACTCGCACACAGAGTCCTGCCTGGGCCTCATGCGTCCCTGAGACATAGGGACTGTTTTCCCGTGTTTTTAAGGGAGGAGAACAAGCTCAAGGAGGCTGAGAGTTACAAAAGTCAGAGCCTGACAGTTCTGAAGAAAAAACTATTCACAGGGGAAGCAGGGAGATAAAGGGAGGCAGAGATCAGTGGTAATGCAGAAAGACAGTCAGTCTAGAACAGCGAACAAGGCAAAATAATCTCAGGAAAGTGATCAAGCCTCAGCATCCACACCCAAAATATGGGCTTAACAGTACTTTCCAAATATTGGTACAAAAAACCTGATGTGTAGTAGGGTTTTAGTACCAACAGCTTCTATGTTGCAAATTAATCCATACGCCAACCCTATTTAGTAGGTCTCATTAGCCCAATTTTAGAAACAAAAATGAAGGCTTGGAGAAGTTAAATTACTTGCCCAAGGTCACAAGCTCATGAGAGAGAAGGTGAACAACCCAAGGCTGTCTGACATCAGCACTGGTTGTCCTTCCTGACACACTGACCACGCTGCTGGAGCAAGCTTCACTGGGAAGTGGGGAGGTGTTGGCAAGGCCCACGGGAGAAGCCGGGAGGCCGGCACTCCCGGGAGGCAGTGCCAAGGTGGCAGGCACAGGACCCACTTGAGCAGGGCTGGGTGTGAGACAGCCACCCCCCTCCACTGCAAAGCTGCTCTGAGAGGTGGGGACCTGTTGCAGAGGACCTCTCTAGACCAGGCTGAGGAGCCAAGGAAGGGTTCTGCAGCAGGAGAGGCTTTACCACCCACCTACTAGGAAAACGACCATGGCAGGCGAATAAAAGGGAGCAGGGCGGGTAGCCCTGGCTGGTGTGGCTCAGTGGACTGAGTGCTAGTCTGCAAACTGAAAGGTTGCAGGTTGGATTCCTGGTCAGGCCACATGCCTGGGTTGCGGGCCAGGTCCCCAGTTGAGAGGCAACTAATCAATATATCTCAAAAAAATAAAATAAAAGGCATTAGGGAAACTGATAGATTTGGTTAAGAACCGCTGACAGTGACCGGGCGTGCGCTGGGGAAGGCAGCACAAGTGGAAAAGAGGGGGTGACCAACCCACCAACCCACCGACACTCCAGCAAGTCTTTGCTGTAAGATCCAAACTCTAACAGGTCTGCTTGGGCCCTGCCTTTCTCTCCACTTATTCACTCCAGGCGCACTGTCCTTGTGTCACTCTTCCCACAGCAAGGCCAACCCCCCTGCCCAGGGTGCTGAGCTGGCTCTTCTAGGTCTCCGCTCGTCCCCCTCCTCAGAAAAGCCCTCCCTGACCCCGCAAGCTGCTCCTCAAGCAGCAGCCCATCACCTGTTGTTTCGTTTCACTCTGAGAATCTGAAATCAGCCTGCCTATCGCGTTCTTGTTCTTCGTGTGGCCTGTCGCCTCCCACTGACGTGAGGCTCCGTGAGTGCAGCAACATGCACACCAGTGTGCTGCAAGAATGTTTAAAACATGCAGCACCTGACCATGTAGTCAGGGGCACTGATCTCTTTTCCCTTAGATGGTCATTTTAAAAAAATGACAACAGCCAACACAACTGTCCAGTATGAATGAACCAAAATTATACCTAGTTTTTTGATCAGCAAAAAACATATTTTTTTTGTGTGCCACCAAATTTTAGTAATTCATTTATGTGTGCCCTGAGATGAAAAGGGTTGAAAATCACTGTGCTACAGTATTGCCACCACCTTAAAAAGTACCAGGCACATAACAGATGGTCACCATGTATCCGTTGAATGAATGATGCAGCGGAGGGGAAAGGAAGTGGAATGAAGGCACATTTTCTCAGGTTTGCCTTTCAGACACACTATGTTACAGGTGATGCGGGTACCCAGGGGGCCAGGTCTTAAGCAGACAGCAGAAGCAGGGGACCAGAGGCTGGAGAGAGAAATGCAATGGTGAGAATACACATCTGTCAGGGGAACAGTGCTGAAGAAGGGGAAGCCCCCCCACCAGGAGCACGAATGAACCTGGAGTTCCTCCAAACTTGATGCAGACCCAGGGTGGGGAGCAGTGACAAACTGCGTTCTCGGTCACATACCTGTCAGGAATGATCATGAACCTTGCCCCTTCCTCCCAAACTAACCGGAGACTGTAGCATTCAGGTGGAACAGGAGACTTACCCATGAGACAGCATCTCCCCCGAGGGATGGGGGTGTCACAGGCAGCCGGCCACAAAGGGCAGGGCTGAACCCAAGGTGCAGCTGTGTAGTGGCCCAAAACTGGTGAAAAATGCTCTGAACTCAGCCACTTCCTCCTCAATGCTGTCCACTGGGCCAATGGCACAGCAGGAACAAGCCTCTGGGCTAATGATCCCCAGATAAGGAACAGGTTGGGGTGGGGCTGGCCTCAGACCACCCACAGTAGCCTGCTTTTCCCTCCAGTTCTACTCCTTAGTCGGGAGTCCAGGGCTGCCGCCTGCCTGTCCAGGGCCTCCTTCTCTTGGGAGGGGAGGAGCCACCTGGAACTCCACCTGGAGCTCCAGCTGACATGGCAGCAGAAGGGCGGGTGGGGGCAAAGACCAGGAAGTAACCCTGGCCAATCGAACACCAACCAATGAGGAGCCTCTTGATCCACAGCCACCAACAGGCCTCAGGAAAGGCCCAGAAAGCCCCACTCCTCAGCAGAGGTGCTGCCTGTGCAGGCCCACCAACCCAGGATGTCCAAGGGCTGGCCCACCGTCCTACCCTGCCTTAAACCAGGGTTGGTCCCAACGAGAGTATAGGAAGGATCTGGACAGGGAGATGAGCAGCTGGAAGGCAGAGGGAATCGGGGGCCAGGAGGTGGGGTTGTCAGGTCACAAAAGATTGACATGGAGGCTAAGTCACAGGTATATTTATTATCCTCAGAAATATCAGGATTTTTCCCTTCCCAGGAAGTGTTACAGGGGAGGCCAACCCTCAGGAGGCAGCAACGCTGCCACCTGAAGCAGGCCCGTGGGGCGGCAGTGTCATGGGAGGCAGAAACAGCGCCTTCAGCTTGCTGGACAGGCTGGCAATCTCGGGATCCTGGGCTTCATAAGACTTGACCAAGCGGGCAAACTTAAGAACACCTGCAAGGGAGATCTGAGTGTCAGCCCACAACCCCAGGGAATGGAGGCGCCCAAGACAAGGAGAGGGGCAGCGTGAATATGAGTAACTGACTGCTCCCCTTCAGGCCAGGTAGCTGCCTGCAAAACAAGGCACATGCAAGACCTCTGTCCCGTGGGCTTTGTACCAACCACTTCTTGGTCTACACAGGGCGAAGCTAGATGGGATGCGGTGAATGGAAATATACCAAAGCAGCTACTTCTCACCATCAGGTAAACGATTGTGGAAATTTCATTATAGGAACCCAAAGTATGAACACCCATGAGATCTGACTTCCATAACCACAATACAGAAAGGCCATGGGCCAACTGGCTTAAATCAAGATCTCACCAAAAAAAAAAATGAACTTCCAACCCTCAGGGACAGATTAGCTCAAACACCTTGGAGGGGCTGAAGAAGCCTGCTGTTGTCATGCAGACACCTCACTAAAGCTTCCAGAGCAGGGTTAGGGTCCAGCTCCGCTGTGACCTCCGGCACTTAGTTTACTGCAAGAGTCTGTTTTCTCATCTTAAAGTGGAGTAGTATGTAATTAATGGTAATTACAAAATGCATTTAGGACTTCACCTGGTACAGTTCAGGGAAGACCCTAGGCTCTCAGTGCCAAAACTGTTAGTCAGATTGTGGCTGCCGCCGTGTGGCGAGAAGGAAGACAACAGCTCCCAGATTCACTGCACCTCCCCGCCTTCCCCGCCTGGCCCACCTTCCCCGTCGCAGCTGAAGCCGTAGGCTTTGATAACCTCCTGCTGAATCTGTGTGGCCACCGGCAGCACGAATTGCAGCATCTTGCCCATGTCGTTGCACGCGTTGTCTCGAGCCTCATCCATGCGTACGGCGTTCTCAGGGGCCGAGAACGCCTGGATCACCTCGGCCAGGACCACTGTGTGGCAGATGCAACCCAAGGTGGCGTCCGGGGGTAGACAGGGGGGAATTGCCAGCAAGCCCAGCCGACAAAGCAAGGAAGAGGGCAATTAATTAATTAGTGGGCTGAAGCCATAAGAACCCGATAAACACGGCCCAGGATCTCTCGCTCTGGGGTATCCTTGTTAATGGAAAGAAAAAACAAAAAAAAGATGGTGCCGCGCTCCCCGTTTCACAGCGATGCAAGCACATCTCTCGTCCTGTTACCCATCACCCGCACCCTCTTCCCGCAGGCAGCCGGCCAGGTGACTAGAACGCTCCTCACCCTTGGCCTGCTCGGCGCTCAGGGTAGCAGGTTGGGCGGACGCGGACGCCATAGCGGTTCGCACGTGTAACTCAACCAAAGAAACGCTGAGAAATAAAACAAGGTCTCCAACACCAAACCCTCCATACAGGGTTCCAGGAAGGAAAAACAGCAGTCGCCTCAGACCGGAAGTTTCGTCAGGATGGTGTTAACTACCTTACCATGCGCTGTCAGGCTTCATGTACACCCCAATGTAATGTTTAAATACAAACCTACACACAAAACACGCTACTCATGTACAGCACTCCCACTGTTCTTTTGTTCCGTGTGACACATAAGCGTGGGTCTTCCGGTAAAAACAGGAAGACCTACTAGACAAATTCAAAAAGAGCTGTAAGCACTAAAGAAAGTGCTCTGGAGAGAACATGGGGTATCCATGAACTCCTCTACTGGTGAGGGTGAGCTCAGAGCGGCCTTTTCTAATCCTTATCGCTGTAAAATCAACGAGGTGCACTGTAACATCACAAGAAAAAACAGCAATCTAAGAAATTTATATCATTCACTTCCAGAGTTTCTGAACATTTGATACGAGTTTATGCAAATTAAATCGATGCTGATTGGCTGAAAGAAGCCAGTCACACCCTTTAGTTTTTAAGAACGGAGACACAGATTCGCAGCAGTAAAATCTTGGGACTAAAAGCCCTCTCGCACTTTCCTAAAACAGCCTGTTTAGGAATGTATGCTGCAGCATAACACCCTCTAATTTCTCTTTTCTAGGTGTTTGAAATTGCCACCTCTCCTTCTCAAACCATAGGGTAGAGACTCCTGGGTTCTAATCTACTTGATCTATTGAAACCCCAGCCCCTGCTTCATAACCATGTATCAAACTATTGTATGGGAAAGATTCAGACTGGTCGCTCCTGTCAGACCAGTAAAAAACCGCCTCAAGTCTGAGCATTTCCTAGAACTGACTTTGGCAGAGGCGTGCCTGTCCCAAGCCTCCAGTGCTCTGACTTCCCAGCCTTGGGAGGAAGGAGGGGACTAGCTTCGGTGGCACCCTCTCCATCTGTCCAGGGTCCCTCCGCCCAGTTCTTTCAGAATGCCTGATCCTTCCCTTCCAACTTCCGAGCTGGTCGGTCTTGTGGCCCCGCCCCCATAGCCCGCAAATAAAGAGTCACAGCCATCTTCCTGGGGAGTTGTGAGGATGTTTTGTTTGGTTGGTTTTGGTTGGGATGTTTTTAAAGAGCATCATATAGATATTTATATATAAATTATTAATGTGGGTCAGGGGCAAGGAGCATACATCGCAGGGGGGCGCGCTCACAGGGATTAGGGAGGGGCAGGGGCGGCACACAATGCTACGCAAAACAGCCACATCTAACAGATGAAATAATCACACCAACGAGGTGGGGGAGGGCGTGATGGCCACAGGGATTGGGCATGGGAGAGGAAGAAAGCAGGGGGACAAGGACGGACCTGGTCCAAGATACTGTGCGCCTTCTGCCCCCAACGCTGCCACCTCCCCACCTCTGCACACCACAGGAGCCTTGGCCTTCCATCTGTCCCTTCCTCCCTCCCTGAGCCCAGCTGCGGAGGCCCTGCAACTGAGCAGCACCCCTCGATGCTCTGGACTGCAGGCCGGGAAGGAGACCTCCAAGGTCCAGATGCACACTCAGGCCCTGGCCGTCTTGATTGCAGGTTTACAGCGGCTTGTCACTTTCCTTTTTCAGGTGACTGGGGAAGAGAAAGGGTATAGAACAGATGAGAGACTGAATTCAAACCTGACCTGCCCCCTCTCACAGAGGACAGTGGAGGGGCTCACCCCCAGGAGCCTAGCCCAGTTGTACCAGGCCCACACCCCATCCCAGGCTTACATCCCTTCACTCCGGGACTAGGCATGCCTGGTAGTACCTATAGTAGTCCTCCTGGGCAGGTAGCGGCACACTGTGCAGCGGGTGGTGGGCGTGCAACCACTGCTGCTGCTCTAGTGCCAAGCGCTGCAGCTCAGCGGACTGCGCGTGCATGGCCTGCAGCTGATGAGCTGCTGACATCGGGGCAGAGAGGGAAGCTGGCAAGTCCCGGTAAGGAGCAGCTGCGGGCAAGAAGGGCAGAGAGCACATAACTGATGGGGGACTGAAGGCCTACTCGGAGCTAGAAGATAGCCAACCACTTTACATACAGAGGAAACTGAGACCAAAAATATTGGGTAATAACCAGTCCTGCAAAATGCCAGCAGTGGAGCTAGGATTTAAACTTCTTAGCCTGGCACTAAAACCCATGCCTCCCTTGGGCAGGGCCTAGCCCCATTCCCACCTCCTCACCCCTTCCCAAGCCCAACTAGGCCAATCCTGCCATCCAAATTCCTCCTTTCTGCCCTTCACTCATTAGACCTTCCCCATCCCTAACCTCCATCCTTACCAAAGAGCTGGTGACGAAGAACTTCGTTCTCGTGCAGAGGGTGAGGAAGAAGGGGGTTGGGGAGGGTCCCAGCTGGGTAGGGTATCCGGGTAAGGTGAGACCCTGAGGCCAGGGGGTCAATGAGAGGGTGCACCGAGGCAGAGGCTGGAGGGTAGAGAAGAGGAAGGTGTCACCAGAAGGCAGGTTTGGGGAAAACCATGCATGTAGGTGAAGGGAATCCAAGCCTGGGAAGAGAGATGGAAAATCAAACACAGAGAGATCCAGAGTGGAACGAGGAGGCATAATAAACAGCCTAAGATTACTAGAGCGGGGACACAGTGATGGCAGAGGGCAGATTACAGCTGTCAGAGGGGTCTGCGGAAGAGAAAAGAGAGAAGTGGACTGCTTAGAGGAGATGGAAGAGGATAGAAAGTTTAGAAAATGAAAAAGGAAGAGAACAGAAGTTAAGAGAGAGGGAAAGCCCAAGAGACGTCAGAATGAACATGAGTGTAATGCTAGATTGGGCAATATGAAATATAGTGAAAGGCTATAAGCTAAACTCATTACCACCTAGGATACCCATAACCACAGCTACAAGGCTCTTTCTGAAAAGGCACAGAAGCAGGTAGGAACAGAAAAGACCTCCAGCTGGGAGAAGTTGGCAAGAAGCCACACGGAGTTGAATCCAGAGGAACAAGGAGACAGGTATGTGAGGAGCTGTAATGGTAGAAAGGTGGTGCTCTTTCCAAGATTCCCAGCTTGAACCTCAATCATGGGTGGGATGCTAGAATCTGAAGAGGGTGGGGGTGTGAGGAATAGTCTTTGTGGCAAGGGTAGGGTATGAGATGATAGGCTGGTGCACGACAGGGAGGCAAAGGTCATAGCAGCACTCAAGAGAGAGGCTACTGGAGGACACGTAAGTCCTGGCTTGAGGAACAGAAGAGCTCAATCACTTGCTAAGGGGTAAGGTGGCCCCAAGGGGTCAAGGAAGGAAGTAGGAGTCTCACCTGCATGGATGGCATCCTGCTGGTGGAGGTGCAGGTGAGAGTGGATGTGGGAGTGCTGGTGGTGATGGGGGGTCACATTGAGCATCTGCAGCCGGGCCAGCGGGTCATTGCCCAAGGCTGCCACCCTTTCTGCATGCTGTCTCTCAGCTGCCAGACGTTCCGCATAGGACATGTCAGGCCGCAGGGCTGGCCCAGCAGCCAGTGCCAGACGTTCCCTCTCCAGGGGCCCCAGGCTGGGATGAAAGGGGAAAGGGTGCAGGCCAGGAGGGCCAGGCTGCAGAGCCAGGCCCCCGTGTCGGGGAAAGGGATCCAGGCCTGGCCCAGGAACCCCATGTAGGGGTTCCAGCTCACTGGGCTTCACCTCGAAGCCAGGCTTGAGGCGGTCACGGAGGTCTCGTTCTCGGGCCTCCCGCTCCCTCTCCCGGGCTGCTGGATCACTGCTGTACAGGGCTGGGACATTATAACCCAGGAGCCCCGGGTCCACTGCCCCCAAGGGCACGTAGAATGGATGGTTGCGATTGCCAGGAGACATGACGTGGGGCCGGGCATATTCACTAAGAGTGCGCAGGGCTGGAGTGTCAGGACCCAAGTAGGGGGGCACTGTAGCCACAGCGCTGCCTGGCTCAAACGGAGGGCGATGGGGCACAGGGCCGAGAGTTGGACACTCCACTGGAGCACGTCCCTCCTGAGCCAACTTCTGTGGGGTACAAAGAAAAGAGTCAGAAGAGCAGTCCTGTAAACAGGCAGCCGGTTCTAAGCTACTCATTTGTCTCAGCAGCTGAATGCAGCCTTCCAGGACCTTCCCTAACCCCTTCTCCTAAACAGTGGCTGTTCTTACAGTCCACATGTAGTCTGACCTGAGCTGTCCTTCAGCCAACCCAGGCAGGCAGTCCTCTCGCAGGAACCCTTTCAGTCTCCATTTCCTAGGCTGCAGTGCTTCCTCCTCACCAAGAGGTGGCGCGGTGACGCCCCGCCCCTCGAGCCTCCCGGCGCGGCGCAAAAGGAGAGCCGTAAGGCGGGAGGCGCACGTGCTGACGCACTCACCATGCTCCGTTCCAGCTCGCGCTCCTTCTCGCGCTCGCGCTCTTTCTCGCGTTCCCGCTCGCGCTCCCGTTCCTTTTCCTCGCGCGCGCGCTGCTCGGCCTCACGCCGCACCTTCTCCACCAGATCGGCTCTCTTCTTGGCCAGCTTGGAGCCCTCCAGCGGCACAAAGTATAGGTCGCTGCGCGCGCACGAGTTAAAGCCGCGATCCAGGTGTTTATTGAACCTGCCAAGGCGCGGAGGCAGCACGCGTTTTGCCTCTGTGAGCGGCCCGGCGGGGACTCGCGCCCAAAGTCAGCCCCCGCAGGCTGGGAAGGAAGGGCGAGGGTCTGCAGTACTTTAAAGAGCGCAGTACATGAACGCAAGCACCCTTCCTTCCGTGCCTATCTCTGTCACCCTCTTCGTTGTTCCCCCTCCCAGTCCCGCCCGCCCACGCCCCACTCACCTCGCTGACTGACTGGCATGACTGGGAACATCTACCACCTTGGGAGCGGGCGAGGGGCTGCGGACCGGGGGCACTGGGCTGTCGGGGGTCTCATATTCCTCAGCCGGCTCCTGTTTGATCTGCGTGGCGTTGAGGGGCGGCCCCGAGGTAGGGCCCGCAGGAGGTGGTGGCAGGGATGATAGACTCGAGGGCCCTGCAGGCGGCAGGGGTGGCCCAGGCCCCACGGTGGGTGAGCCTGGCTTGAAGTTCCCTGGGCCTGCGGGCGGCGAAGTGCCTCGGTAGCCCGGTGGGGTCCCCGTTCGGA